AAGGAAGGAAGGAAGGAAGGAAGGAAGGAAGGAAGGAAGGAAGGAAGATCTAGTGAGTATAATCAGATATGTGAAAAGCTCTTAAGCATTTGAAAATCACTTTTACACTAACTGTATTTTATTTGTTAATGTTTCCAATATTTTTCAGACTTCAGTAATACAGAAATTATAGTTTTCACTTGTGAATGAAAAAAACCGAAACATGATTGTTCTTTGCCAAAGTATCTGATTACCTTGACCGGCTCGTTCCATTTCAACTTAGAGTCTTGGCTGGATTACTAATGGCTTCAGTTACTTGAACTGAGGAAAAGTAACATCATATTCCTCATCTGCACCAGATAGCTTCTGAGAAGATTAAATGTGTTATATTACTTCAAGTCATCGTGATGACTTTGAAGAACTATACAAATAAAAATTTAAATATAAAGACAGGTAGTGTTATATAAACACATTTTTTTTTAGTAACTGGTTCAATGAATACATACACAGTGCCTATCTCTCTAAAATAAAACTTTGATAGGAATTTTTTGTCACTCCTAATCTTATACAAAACTGTTTCAAGTGGGTTCTTACTCTATTGAAAGTCTTTAATGTATATTTCTAATTATAAGAGAGGACAATGTGACCACCAATCATCTTTTCAAAGGTCACCAATAGAAATGGAGTAAGATATCTTGGCTGGAAATTTGCTGAAGTATAATTTTTTTCATAATTTCCCCCCATGTCTTCACTCAGTAGAAGGCAGCCTATGAAGTCCACTTTTTGCACAAAATGAATACACTTTCTTCTCTGTTGTCAAATTGCCAGCCTCAGAAGACAAGCATCCCCTCTTTGCTTTATATCCTTGTCACTGAGGAAGAAGCAGTACTAGTCTTATAACCCTTAATGACAAGGGAATTCAGTATTATGGCAGCAGATCCAGCAGAGATTATCTAAAGAAAATTTCTTCTCTATAGCTTTCTTTCCCAGAAAACAGAAAAACACTGACAATGTTGGAGATAAATTCTTAACATAAGCATCTGGAATTTTCATTGGAGCTGTTGGCCATGGAGCATATGTGAGACACCATTTTCAGTTTGATTTCCAAATCCCAATCCCCCAATAAACATTAAATTACATGAAACATAATGCTTCCCTTTAACCTTGGTTTGAGATTGCTTTCTAGGTAGCCTTCCAGCCAAATACACAAATCAAGCCATAGTAAACAACACATGGTTCTTCGTCCTTCCTTTTAATCAAAACGTTTATCTAAAACATAAGTTCTATTTCAAATTAAGTTTAAAAACTTTTTATTAAAGGAAAAAACACCCTATACACTCTGGACTGTTCTGAGGAATCCTGGGTCTACAGATAAAATTACCTAATAAGCAATAAATGTCATCACCCATGGTTAATGGATATCCTGTGAATAGCAGTGTCCTATAGCAGATGTTAACTTATGGTGAGTGTAAGAAAGAATAATTAGGTGTTGAGAATATAGCTATGCTGACATAACCTATCACTAACATTGTCCTTCTATCCAGTATTACAGAAGACGTAGTTTTGGATACATCAGCAATGCTTAAGCATACCTATGAATTTTCTAATAAAGAAAACAATGCCCTACACCAAGTTAATGCAGAAATGAGAATCCAACAGTGTTTGCTGTTTGTTATTTTGTGAACATACTTACTTTCCTGGTCTATGATTAACTATGTATATGTCTAGCTAGGAAACTTAGATTGTTTCTCTCTCCAACAGTGCCTTTCCAGGCAATGTACTGTAATGACATGTCAAGGATAATTGGGTCTGAATCACAACTCTGCCATTTACTAGCTTTTAAAGTGATTTTCTTTTCCACAGCATGGTTCATTTCACCCTTAAGTTTAGTATTATAATAATGCACAATTTCCACAGAAATTTATAAAGGAATAAATGTAACAGTATATGTTAAAGGACCTCGTATAGCGTTTTGAGCAAGTGCTACTACATGGAAATTAGTATTCTCTTCACACTTGTACCTAGTTTACAAGAGATTTTTCAGAACTATGAAGAATTCAAGGGAATTCACATTTGTCACCCCTAAGATTTGTAGGAAAGGAAAAAGCACATAAGATACTTCAGTGGTCCACTTGATCAGAAACATGGAAGTCATGCCAAAGAAACAGTTGTCTCCAGAGCACATGCCTCCTCAGCAACTGCTCCTCCCCATAACCTGAGGCTTAAAAGGAGGTCTCCTTCAGTGTGTGTAGCATCTGAATCACATTGGCTAAAATGAACATTGTTTTGGTGTTTGTTGAATATATTTTATCAGGATACTCCTATATAAGAATAACTAAGTAGACAAGGCTTTTCTGAGATAATTATTTCTAAAATGGAAATAGAAAGAAAAAATACACACGTTCATTGGGGATGATATTAGGGACATGACTGAGTATAAGATCATTTTCCATAAATTAATTACTCCCATTTTCACAACCTAATGCTGTAGCTCATCCTTAATATGTTTCTGTCTTATTTTTATATCATTACATTAGTAAAATGGGGAAGTGAAGGAACATGTCAGGCATCTCTTGTCTCCTCTCCTGGAGGAGGACATAAGCTGGGTAGTTTTTTTTTTTTTTCTGTTTCTGCCAAAGTTCACAAACCATTCCACTGTATTATACAGGCCGTACTCAAAAATTGTGCCTCCACCTTGAACAACAACAAAAGAAGAAAAGTATAGAAAAAGAAAACAGATGAACATTTACAAAGCTCAGATGCAGTGGACAAATTCTGTGGTTTGTGACAGGAAATACTATCCAGGTGAAGGTGTAGATCCTATACATTGGCTACTCAGGTTCCCTTGTATCCCTTACTTAGTACGTATGACTCCTCTCATAGGTAATTACCATTCTAGTTTCTGTCATCATATATTTTCACTGTCACTTAATGTCATATATAGGATATCATCTCTTTTTTCTAGTTTACATGAGCTTTCTCATAAGAGAGGTTAAATGTATAATTTAAAATTGCTTTGATCAAACAATATAGATATAAATTTTTTTATGTTAGCTTATTTTTTTTATGCTATAGCAAAACACCATAGCAACTAAAGGGCAGGGAGAGAAGATAAGATACACTTAAATTTACTACTTAAAAATTCAAAAATATTTTTTTTGTCTCAAAGCATGATTAAGAGACTAAGAAAGAGCCTGCCTCTGATCTGAAGTGATTCTGAACCCCAGGTCCCAAAGTATAGTTGGACTTGGCCAACATGGAACAGGGAGCTAAGGGAATGAGATTCTGGTAGTCTGGAGACCAAACACCTCTGGAGTATGAAAGGTTGCTGTCAGTTTTAGATATGCTTGTTTGCTAGAAAAAGAATGCTCACCTCTTAGAACCACAGGCCATCAGAATTCATCACTGCTTTCAGAGTCTGAAGCAATTGAAGGCCTCTTTGAATTTTTTTGGTCTGTTGAGTCACACAGGCAAAATGTGCCCAGGTATAGCGTAGAGTACTGCTCCCAGTAGACACCTGCCCCTTCAGGGATCATTTCTCTTCTAGCCAGAGAGCATGACTTGCAAAGGAGGTAGGGGTTCCCCACAATTCTGTTAGGAAGGTCTGGTATTCCAGAAATGGCCATGACTTTTAGTGAAAGTATGATGTCCTGGATTGAGTAGCCTTTCAGTCTCAGCTTCCACTGGCATCTCAATCAAGTCCATTACCAGTGTCCAAATAATGCATTATGCTGGTTCTCTGACAGTACCTTCCACCACAGCCTCTTTAAGAAGAAATAGTACTAGTATAAGTCATGCCTTCTACTGATGCCCAGGCTACTTTCCCCTCTGTGGATAAGATGCTCACCAGAAATTCCTATTACGTTTTAATTACTGTGGAAGAGCCTCAGTAGTTGCTGACTTTTTAATCTCAAGACTCACTTGTGAACCAATCAGACATCCAGGAAGGCCTTCTCATGTATGAACAAGCCAAATGGGCTGCACAGAGCACAGAGTACTCTAAAGAACACAAATGAGGAATACTCAATTTCAAGGCTTTATTTCTACCAATATAGGAAGTGAGGGAAAGTATACACTAATCCAAATATTCTCACCTCATCCATCATAGAATAAAGATATAGGTAAGAGGCCCTGAAAATGTAAAACATTGTACATGGTCATTTCTCTGTCCTGATGTGCTTGAATGGTATAATGTGCCTATACACTAGATATGGACCACACAGATATGATGACTGTGGCTGACAGTTCATGAGATCTAACCATCTTGATAACATCAAAGGACTCATCAGTGGATTTTAGTTTGGCTAGATGTAGGCCAAATGTAGCCCTCAGGCAAAATAAAAAAAAAAAAAAGACCAAAAGTCTTCTTACTCCTAGACAGGAGCTTTAGGTGTTTTTCTCCTTCCTTTGGTTCTTTAACCCCTGAAATCACAGGCTCAGATCAGCTCATCTCTTTGATATGTAGAGATTTAAGTGAAGGATAGAGCATTAGGCTCTGGCATTAAAGCCCAAATGAGGCTATTGACTCCATCAGGAACTCCTCAAAACCTTCAAAAATAATCTCAGATGTTCTCTTCTCTTAGAACCACCTACTCTACTCTTTAGCCAGATGAAAATATGGAACAGAGGTAAAGGGCTTTAAAAAGCTTTTATTCTCTATCACTCTTTACCTAAAAACCGTTTAGTGACTCTTGTTTACCTGTTCCATAAGTGCAGGATCTCCCACAGTCTCCAACACCAGGTTTATGTGCCAATAATAAAACTATCATTTACTGGAAAATGACCTTGAGGAAGGTCTTTGTACATCATGTTTTATTTCATCATCTTCTGGAAAGTAACAATAAGTGTATTTGACTAAAATGAACATGTCACATGTACTACATTTAGAGTACCTCTGACAGGGCTATCCACATACGCAGTTTCTGTACCTTCACATTAGACATGAATAGACTTCTTTCCCACAGGAGATGGGGTCTAAAATTCTACACAGCCACAGAATACCAAACTTGTGGGACAGGTAATACTCATGGGTAAAATTTGACTAATGGGTAAAGGGTGAGGGAGAGAACCATTAAGGAAAATTCTTCTCTCCCATTAATTGTTGGGTAGCATTATTTCTTCCCCACAGATTAGCTTTGTGGGGAGATTCCCAAAGTAACCAATGAGCATACCTGTCACTTCAATCTTATCATGAAGCAGTACCAAGCATGGAAGCATGTCACCTGGCACTGCTTCATTTTTCACTGCTTCACTTGCATGTTTTCACTCCTAAATCTTGGCTTTGAACATTCACAGTAAAGCATTAGTATTTTTTTTTAAGTTTAACTTTAAAAAATGAAAGGAAGAAAAAAAAGAAAGGAAGGAGAAGGAAACAAATTAAGGTTAGGTTGTGATTGGTTTTCATTGGCATCATGTTTTAAAATAATACTCTGAACCTTATCAGTATGTATAAATAATACATGTTAATAAAAATTAAAATATTTTAAAGAAGGTATACATTTGATCAATGAGCACATGAAAGTGTGCCCAGTAGGAATGCAAATTAAAACTGAAATTAAATATTTCATTAAACCGTGTATGGTGGCTATATATTTTTCTTAAATAGGGACAATGAACTGTCATGGAAGATGTAGACAACTAGAAATTCATACACTGTTGTTGAACATCTAAAAGGGTGCAACATTTACAGAAAATGATTTATCAAAAAATGAAGCATAGATTTATCATAAGCTATAGCAATTATTCCTAAACATAGATTACTAAATATATATATTCCAAGAGGTGAAAACACATGTTCACACATAACCTTGTACATAAATGTTCCTATCAGTATACTCATAATAACAGAAATTAAAAACTTCAAATGTCCATCAACTTATAAATAAAGTTAGAAAATAGAACTTGGTGTGTCAGTAAAACAAAATATTATTTATCTAGAAAAAGGAATGAAATACACAATGTATGCTATAATGTGTAATGAATCTTTAAAATATTATGATTGAAAGAAGTAGCTAACAGGAAAGGTCAATAATGTGATTCTTACACCAAGTGTCCAGAATAGACAATCCACAGAGACAAAACAAGTATTTGCCATAGACTCAGAGGAGGAGACAATGACTATTCAATGAACAATGAAAATGACCTGGAAATAGAAATTTGTGACTACATTAAAAAGCAGAAAGCTGTTTACTTGAAATGGCAAATTTACGTTATATTAATATATTTCAGTTTTTTGAGAAAGAAGACCTTCATTTTTAATGCTTAAAACACCCCACATTTTTCTAGTGAATACCACCAAAGTTAGTCCCAAAACAAAAATAAATTTTAAAGCTGCTGTAAATAGCCATGATCCTACTGATTTATTTCATTCTTCTTTTCAACTAAACTTTGTAATTGGTGTGTGGGGGGGCACACACACACATACTTAACCTTATATTGTTACATTAACATATTGTTTAGTATGTGTGCTTACGTATACTTATCTAGTAAAATGAGAGTGACAACTAAAAAAGTGACTAGTGTTTCTTTACTTGTTTTGTCTCTATCATATGCATAATCTCTGAGGCTGTTCCCATTGTCCTGATTCCTCTGAAAATAACACAGAAGAGAGTGAATGTAGCAGACAGGAAAGAAAAAAAAGCAATGATGTGGCATTAATAATAACTTCAACATTAGCTCACTGTACCCTGAATAAATGATGCTGGCTAAGTTTCTCCTGGGTGTAAGGCACTCACACTGCTGCTTGTGCAGCTGCCTCTGGCCACTCTTTGTAGCTCTTGGGCTTCTCAACTTGCAGAAATGCCTGTGGCATGAAGCACGGTCTCTCTATCTAGCATGGGTAGAACTTACAGGATGACAAATCTAAATAAATAACACAGGACTTTAGGCTATTTGCTTTGCCTGGGCAGAAGAGAAGTTCTGAGATTAAAAAAGGGTGATGAAGATAGCAGCTGGCGCATGCCTTGCCCATTCTTCTCCTGCAAGCCCGATCACCACCCACCTTCACAGGGTTGTCACAAATCAAAGCATTTGCTCAGCTTGGCCTTGAGAATAATTATCTCTTTGAAAATCAAGCTTCTAATCTGTATAGTGCCCTCATCAATTCCAAATGTTTGGCCTGCAGCTCAGATGATGCTCCAAATGATTAGGTACTGCTTCTCAATTTTTTCTTTTCTGGTTTGGCCCAGATCCGTTCCTAGCACAGCTTTCTCATTTCAGTTTCCTATTTCCATATTTCAAGCGTCTTATCTCCTTCTTAGCTCATTATTTGTGAATTTCTATTTCTTAATTTACTTATTGTGAATGGTCCCAGGTACAGCTCTGCCAAAAATAACAGTCATATTCAGTGCTGACTCAAACTACACAGTCATCATGAGAAGGTTGATTAGGATGAACACTTCAGGCAAGTGGTCCTTACTCTTAGCTATATTTTGAAAGCTCAAAACTATATTGATACGTTGGCACCACTCTTGAGATATAATTACTCAAAGTTTGACCAGGAGTTCTGGAATTTATACAGTTTACCCATTGATTCTTGGGTCCAACTATTCTAACAGTACAAGTGTAAGGGTTCCTTTAGCTTTGAATTTCTGTGTTACTTGAATATAAAGCATAGGCAGTAAAAGAAAAATCCTGTCCTTCCATAGTCAGATGCAATCTACCCATATTTTATTTTTTATAGGCAAATGAGAGGTGAAGAAGCAGAATATAGGAAAATGGATCCTTTAAAACATATTATATTACATTCTTTTCAACTCTTTTGATGGCTTTTCCTTTTACTTACAAGAAATCTGAAGTCATTTTAATGGCTGGTGATATCTTACATAATCTGGTTACTTAAACTTCCTTTGATATATCTAGCCATATTCTCTATTGGTCTACCCTTACTCTATTCACTGCATCCATACTGGTCTCATTGCTATTATTCAAATTATCCACAGGAATCTTCTCCTGAATACAAACATTTGATTAGTTATCTCAACATTTTCAGGTCTTTGTTATTGTACAATCCTCTTAATAGGGTTTCTCTGGCCACTATTTAAAATTGGAATTTCCCTTACCCTTCTATCCCCCTCTTGTTTCATTATCCTCCGTAGCACTTACAATATTTTTATACATTATGGTTTCCTTATTAAAATATGTCTTGTATTTTTTTCTACAACTGGAAACATCATGAAATAATTGTACTTACTATGTGCACTACTCCATCCAAAATACTTAAAACACTGGTTGTCAAACAGTAGGAATGGAGTAAGTATTACTGTTTGAGTGAATATTAAAAATAAATTCTATGTCAATTAGTTCTATAGGCTTTCATAATAATTGGCAGATTTTATCAAAACAAAATAAATGAGAGAAAAAAATGACTTTAGGTTCATTTACTTAGTAAGAAAAGAAGCCAACCATCTAGGATTTGAGGTGCCAGGATTGGTTGGTATCCCTCAGGAACCTCCCCTTCTCTGAGAAAAATGAGGGGGGGATAGGAATGAAAGGGTGTGAGGGTGTGACTGGAAGGAGAGAAGGGAGGGGGCTAGAATCAAGCTATAAAGTGATTAAACAATTAAAATTTTAAAAAAGGAGTATGTCCAAGACTCAGAGGTAACTTAAAGTCCATAAGGGTATCATGCTTTCCAAGGCATTGTTTTACTAAAATGGTGAGTGTATAACCTTTGCTGATATTTTTTTTTCTTTTTGTGATATTTTCAATGAGCAGGAAAAAAAATTCTGCACATTAAATTGACTTTTCTTTAAATAAGATTTTAAAGGGCTTACTAGTGGAAATTTTTGGGGAATGCATACACCCAAGACTAAATCAAAACATCTAGTGGTTGATAATCTTTATATTAGGCAAATAGGATGCCAAAAATTAAATGCTAAGTGACATACATATTTAAAGTTAGAAGAGGAATCCCACCAGCAAACAGGAGGAGCCCAGGGAAAAACTAGTGTGTGGTAAGAGTAGTGCACAATAAAATGGAATAGCTAAGTAGTGAGCAATAGTTCCAGGCTTTCATATAGGGATAGACAAAAGAGTTAAGATATGTTATTTTGATTTTGGTTTGTATAAAAGTAAATTGTCAGCCAGAAAAAATAGCTCAGTGGGTAGGTAAATGTACTTGTCATAAAAGCCTAATGAACAGGGTTTGATCCTTGGAAACAGTATTTAAAAAGTAAATTGTCTTTTTATTCTTAAATTTATTAAAATATATAGCTAGGATAAAGATAATTCAGAGGACACAGGTGCTTATTCTAGTTTCTAATTGGTTTCTTTTAAAAAATTTCACCTATTAATGTTAGCAACTTCAGGAAAATAAATAAAAAGAGCTGTACTCAATTAAAAACTCACCTGTTTACTTTGTCCTTTATTTCAGTGCACAAAGCAAGAGGTGATGTTCCATTTGAGGTAGGCAGACTATATAGTTCTTTCTCAAGGCAGTTGTCACTGTAGAGGTAGAATTAATAGTTTAATTGGACCACTTCTACATATCCAATGGCAAACTGTAATCATATGAGTTAAATTTCAGAATGTGTGCCTGCACACATAGCTACTACATAAAAAGCAAAAATTTCTCTAAAAAGAAGAACAAAAACAAAAACAAAAATCCAAATACAACTTAAAGCCTGTAAATTGAACTTAAGAAAAGGCCAAAACCTACAAAACAATATAGACATATAAGTAATAAAAGAATTAATGAAATTAAGGTCAGTCAATTCTAGGCTGATTTTAAGGGAAACATACTCTTGATTTCTCCTGAAACAGTCATTCCAAGTAATAGCAAAGGCACAGAAACTACTTTGGACAATGTTCAAGAGAAAAAATGAGACAATGTAAGTGAAAGTGCTCTGGAAACTCCAGATTGGACGTCACATGTGAAAAGCTGTTATGAGTATTGTTACTATCCCACCCAGAGCAAAGGAGCAAAGGGCAGGAGAGAAAAGATACAGACCCCTGAGCCAACATTTAAAGCCTCTCATTTGCTCCACTGTCACCCAGCCCCTAGTGAGTCATTGATTTGAATATTGACCACCCACTGCTAGACAACATGTGGGACAAGACAACAGTGGAACAAACCAGTAGACAATGTAATGCAACCCAAGGTAGAACCACACAATGAGACTGGGAAAATAAGCTCAGAGATTGAGGCCTATTTGTAGAGAATGAGGTTGTGTTGCCAAAGTAGTTCCACCCCAACCCCCTTTAAAAGCCATGCTCAAGAAGCAGGAAAAGATATTTGGAGGTGAACATAAATAAAAAGATTGATATACACTTAGAAAAATGTCACAGTGAAACTCAATGTTTTGTATGCTAACTAAAACACTTAAAATAAATGAATGTGAAAAATGTTCAAGAAGAACAAAAAGTATAGGACTTGAAAGGGTTGGCATTACAGGGTTGGTATGGGGGTATGGGAGAAGTGGCGGGAGGAAGGGACTAGGAAGAGAGAAAGGAGTAGGGTTGAGATTGGGATGTAAAATGAACAAATAAGTAAATAATGGAGAAAAATATGTAGTAAAATAAACCCATAATTTTTTATGTAATTATGCTCCTTGAAATAATTTTCATAAATAATTTCAGATTTTGAAAATCCCACACAAGAGGTCATAACAGCTCAGAGGACAATACCATCTATCTTTATTTGAACTACTTTAATAACAGGCTCATGAGGCAATGTTTTCATTATGGTTTATTTATTTTCTTTTTGACAACTGGTTAAAATATAAGATAAAACTAACTGGGATTACACAATCATGAAATTCTAAAAGGATATACCAAGATAACTTCAACCCTTATGATCCAAGTAGGAAAATTGTAGCTATAAGAAAAAAAAATTCTCAAAAGTACATAGTTTGTTAAGACTAGAATCTAAGCGTCTGTTTAGGAGTCAGTGCCTTGCCTATTTCCCATATATAAAGACACAGGGCACTTTCAGGACTGATTGCCCACTGACTATGTTACCAAGGATCAAGCTTCTGTTTTCCTCTAACTCTCACAACATAGTATTGGCTCTGTAATCTCTCAACAAGAAAAATTAATAAAGGGTAAACTTGGTCAGGGAACGGTAGCTCATGAAGGGAAGCAGTCCTGCCCACTCTTTCTGGCTTATTCACAGTAGTGACTAACAACCTCCTAGAAATAATGGCCTCTTAGTACTTGATTCCATCATATATAACATACAAACTGTTTTATTTTTCAGCATGAGTTTGTGTCTCTTAGGGATACTTATATAGAGTAGCTTTAAATCCTCCTGGGTGGATGACTAGTCACTAAAAACTCAGTTGATAATTGTTTTCTATGCTAGGCATTCTGTTAGTACTTAGTCACAAGAGAGAAAACCAAAACGGAATGAAGAAGTTTAATTATCTGTGAGACAGAATGTCTAGAGAAACACTGAAAAAATATAGTTAATGCTAATCTAAGACAGACCAGAACCATCCTTGTATCGATCACAGGTATCAAATAATAATTGCCCTTCTAGTATCTAAACTGATGATAAAACTGGCCAAGCACTCTTCCCGTTAAGCACATTAGGGGAAAATATAAGGGTGGACAGTCTTCTAAAGGGAGCAGAGACAAAATAGCTTCTGTTTCAAGAAAGCTTCAGCCTGAATAATGACTCCAAAAGATGCCTCACTCCCTGCAGAAGGCATTCAAATGGAACAGCTCATGTCGCTATCTCACTAAAGGAAGACTATATGGCCTGTGTTAGGTTTCTAGACTGAGTTGTCATATGCTTTTCTTTTGAATCTAGGGACTGTTTCCTTCTTGGTTTCTCTTACTAAAAGATTTCAAAGACAAAATAACTGGTAAAAAGCAACTGAATAATTATCTTCCTCTCTAATGTCAGAATTATTCTCCCTAGACATAACTTTATATACAAAAAGCTGTAGAAAATGAAGGGGTGAATTAGAAAAAAAAAATGTGGCTTGCAGTTATGGCTCAGCAGACCAATGGATCTACAGCAGGTTTCATTTTCTCTGAGTACTGTCCAGTGAAGAAATGATTCAATCAAAGAATTGAAATAAATAATATAAAGAAATTTGTCACATTCTCCTATCATGCTTCTTTTGCAGTGATTGTCATCTCTGTGAAGGTGTATCACTCCACTTTTGTATAAGTCAAAACCTCAAACTCATATTTTAATTAACAGCAACTCCACATGAAAAATGGAAGAAACCCAGCTATTTTACCAGGAAACAGTATATATGGGAAATTTAAGATCTTCAGAAAAGAGAAACAGGTTGCTGTTAAGTATCACCAGAAAAGAAGGACTAGAACACCTGAATACAAGTCAGAGACATAATAAATGCTGCTGAGCAAAAGAAAGAACTTTCACCAATCAAGGATTTCCTCATAGACAGATAATGGGTTCTTTCAGAGACCAGTGAAGACTTTTCCCCTAGAAGTGTTCAGTTAGAGATGAGATGAAGCTTTAAAGGTGAAGTCAATTGTAAAAAGAAACATATGACTCACAAAAGCCTACTATCTAATCAAGCATTGGGCTAGGTCCCTTACAGGGATTATAATTTATAAATCCTTCCAAGGAGTGGGAACTATATCCAATTTTTCAGGAAAATATCAACTTAGAAACGTTTTTATTTTTTCACTGGGCTTACTAATGATTTTATAGGTGGATGGAACAAACATCTCTTTGTTAATACTAATGGAGAATAAAAATATTGAGTACACAATGCATTTAGGATTCTAAACAGCAGCTAATTTGACCTAGGATTTAAGAACACCTGTCTCTAACTCTCTCCAGAGAGGTGGGATGAAAATATTCACTCTTTCAAAGTATAAGCTAACCATAAGAGATATGCTCCATCCTTCCTGTTTTAAAGGTCATGTTTAAAAACTGCAATTTTCTGAACAGTCAAAGTCTATGCAAAGTAATGAATTACATGGCCTCCCTCCTTTCTGTTCCCATAGCCATTGCATCAGGATTAGAGATTTCTGTATTTTTCATTTGTTCACATTTGTGTTTTCTTATTTCAGCCCAACTGATTCACATTTACCTGCTCCCACTTCCTAAAGTATAGATCTGACTTTTTCTTCAATTCATGAACTCACAGTGGCTCTACAATGATCTGCCAAATAAACAGAACTTGGTGTGGTTCCCCACCAATCTAACTTGTACTTTTCCCTAACTGTACTAAAATATCCAACTCAACTATTGTTTCTTTCACATGTTCATAGTTCCATGCTATCAAGCATTTGCCCATGTTTTCTCTGCTGAAAATGCTTTCTCTCCTTTTTCCAAACCTGTTGAAATCCTGTCTGTGCTGTATAATCGATCTTCAATAGTCATGGCTAACATTTATTGAGTGTGCTTGTATTGCACTGAGTGAAGTGTGTGCAAGTCTTTTACATGGATTAATTCAGTGAATCCTCACAATAACTCGATGATGTTAGCGCTATTATTATCTCAACTCGTTTGTGCCTGGATCAAAATGAAACTCAGAGACGGAGTAATACTCCTTTTCTCCAAGGCCACACAGTCTACTATAAAGTGGAATGATATCTAAATAGAAATAATTTTGATCTTTCCCTTTCAAAAGGGTTAGGGCTGAAAAGAAGTCAGCTGGGCATACACCTATACTTACAGCACATAGGAGTTAGAAGCAGGGGGATCAAGAATTAAGATCCACCTCAGCTATATAGAGAGGTCCATTCAGTCCAGCCTTATCTACATGGGACCCTATCAAGTCCCAAAGAAACCCAAGGCAAAAAATAAAAATAAAAAAATAAAGCCCAAACAAATCCTTTCCTGTTTCTCTCTGGCTCTAGTTGACAAGGCCCTTACTTGACAACTTCAGAGCATTTTGACTGTACTTTTAAACCTCATCTTGTGCAGTATTTTTTGTGTTCCTACACTCCGGATGAGTCAGGCCCCAAACCCAGGGCGAACTGTTTCTGTATCTTGGATAGCATAGTATTTCAAACTTAGTGATAAAGGATAGATAGTCAGTATACATCCTATATAGGATGAAAGCTACAGTGGGATGAATCAGGGACAAGAGAGTTACCTAGACAGAGAGTCCCACAATTTACTACCTCATATTGCCCTACATGAAATTGGCCAACGCTGCCAAAACCTGTCAAAATGCGATCCTACAGCCTGTTTTCCCAGCTTAGTCTCTGGCAGGTCTCTTCTCCCTGCACCCCGCCAGTTCTTGCAGCTGTCTGGGCATTGGCTAGCATTTAGGGTGAGGCCTGATCAAAATATCACTCTCCTAGGCTCAGCTTCCAGCAGCAAGTGATCAAATGAAACTCGGTCACACTGGTAAGGAGGCTGGATTGAAAGCCCCTCTGCACAATGCCAAATTGCTCTTTACACAGGCCCGGACTTGCCCCAGCACCACGTGGGTGGGCTAGTAGTTCAGCTTTCAGCAGGATGCTGTGAATATCCAATCCCTCCCCCCCCCCACCCGGAGCTAATTCCCAGACTCCTTCTCTTCCTTATCTTTGGATCACCGATGCACACAGTTGTTGGACAAGCCCGGGCATATGCCCAGCGGCCATCTGGCTCTGTTTTGAACATGCACAGGCAGGAACTAGTCAAAGCTGTAGGGATAACAGCCTAAGTTTCTGACATCTCGGAGAGTGCTGTCAGGGCACAAACGGATAGAATGACTGATAACCACAGAATACCTTCCCCCAAGTCATGCTGACTTTGTAGCACTCTCACAGGGACATCTGATATGGTCCAATGGCCCTCTCTTTCCGTCCCTAGGTGCCACAGGTTCCAACTGATTTGCCACGCGAAGGAGTGTTCCCACACTTTGTCAAGTTCAATGGATGGATCTCTCTTACAACGGGATTCCCTGAACAAACACATTAGAGTACAGAACAGACATCCTGCCCAGCAGCCGCCCCTCAGTCCCCCAAGACAGCATACCGCTCTCACAATAGGTGAAATCCGTTGCAACCAGTGTTCTGCTGGATTCATTTCACTTCCACGTGTGGCAACAACAGATCAAATCTATCCTCTATAGCTTTCATATTATGCCTACCCCTTTCCTCTCCCTTGTGGGGCATGCAGGACAGCTATTGGACTATTTGATGTTGTATGGGAGTGGTTATGCAAATAAATCCCGCCCAAGGAGAGCTGGTAAACAATGGCCAAGCCACAAGTAAGACAGGAGATACTAAGGCTCCAGGAACTGAAACTGGGACAAGAGTGGGAAGGGCCTAGAGTTGGATCTAGCCAAATCTGTGGGGAGGAGGGAGGATGCAGCTAAAGGCAACTCAACTCAGTTTTGTGCATGACTTAGCAGGTTTGGAGTCTCAGAGAAAACCAAATTTTTAACAAGTTAAGATTCTTAGGCACAAGCAAAAGCTACTTCCTGGCTCTGGTTTTGCATTTTTATATTAGTGTCTTCGGAAGATTAAAATTTTTAACAGAAAATATGAAGCTGGGGAAAGACCACTAAAAATGAAAAACTGGATTCTATAATTCACTCCGACTTTAAGCCATCCTTTCATCTCCTCTGGGTCTCTGGCTCTCTCACTACACATACCTATATGGGATCATACATATAAATATATGTACATATACATATATATATGTACATGTAAATATATATGTATATGCTCTTTCAACAATTATACTTTCTCAGAGTCATGTGATTTTACAGACAGAAGTAGGGGATGTCCTGGAATGCATTATATATAGGAAGAAATGGAAGCTTGACCCAAGGTGTAGAGGAGAGAACCCAGTAATGTTCTTTGACCAAACTGAGAAACCTCACCTGGCCTGGGCAGACACAATAAACAGGAATTCAGAATCAAGTCTCAAAGGCTGAAAATCCTTTGGAAGAAAAGGGCAGAATTGGATTAGAATAATGAATAGAATTTAGTTGTATACAAGTGCACATTGGATATAAATAAATACATACAAACATAAATACACATACACGGACACACACTTTGGGGCTACCTGACATCATCTCTGAGATTAAAATAATAATTACTATCCTATTAGCTAATTTTGTCCTGAATAGGGAGGAGGTACTAATGCATAAATAATCTACTTTTCTCCGAGAGAAGGCAAATTTTCCTAAAAGAGGGTCTGTCTGGTTTTTCTTCATCTTCTAAAATGAGAATGTCTGAGTAAGCTGAGTTTTGAGACCCCATTGTAATAAAAAGAATGCTGGTTTGGGAATTAGGACACTTGACCAAGCCGACTTTATGTAAACTTACAACCTCTAAGTCTTGCTTTCTGCATTTGGAATTTGAACAGGTTCTTAGCCTTGGTTCTCTTGAAATTCTAAAGTGGTGCTTTTTACATGCAGTCACATAGCGTTTCTGATAATATATAGATTATGAATTAGCATCACCAAAGTGATGCTGAGACTGATTTTCTAACAGTATCCGCATTTGAAACAGTTGCATCTGAGTCATAGACATTGCATTAAATAGCAAAGGTCTAGATGGTAGACAAAAGCCACATTAGCTGCTCATCACAGTTAGTTAGCATTCTATAACAATAATAAACAACTTGTGTAAAAGATGGACTTTTGGGGGCTCAGCATTTTGGAGGTTTTTGTCCATGGTTGGTTGCCCTTGTTTGTTAGTCTGTGCCAATTTAGCTGATCATGGCAGTGGCATAAGGCCATTTACATGATGCCCATAATCTAAAAGAGAAACTTGTCAAATGACCTGGGTCTCACTCTATCCTTCAAAGACATACCCCCAGTTACCAATATATCTTCCACTAGGCCTCACCTCTTAAAAGCTCTAACATTTTCTAGTAACACTAAGGGCTATGGACAAATGGAGTCTTGGAAAACATTTCAGATTTAAGCTAAACTTTCTATAATCATGTAAATTATGTTCTTTTGTCACTAATTGTCCTTTGAGGTGGGGTTTATTATTCACATCTTCCATCTGAAGTGAATCCTAGTACTCCATAATGATTGCTGGGAGAAACCTCAGGGAAAAGTTGCAGAAAACCGTTAGTTATTGTCATATTATTTGGAAAATGTCTCTAAGCATCTCTACCTCTTCCCTTGTGCAATAATAGAATAATCGTTGATTTTCACTGAGAACTTCACAAGCATTCTTTCACACACTTTTATTGATTAATATATTTACCCTAACAATAACTTATGAGACAGAAAATAATGGAATAATCTCTTCCTCTAAATTTTGTAACCACATATATAATTCACATATATAATTTCTATCTCTAAAATACAAAATTTCATAACTCATCACCTTTATTTCAACTGTTTTGGTAGCCATATGTTCTTTTTGCTTTTGTAATTCTCCCACTCCAGTCAATTTTCAGAATAGCAATCAGATTAACAGTTTTAAAATATTAATAAATTCTACTATTTTCAAACCATTCTGTTGGCTCCTTTATTCATAGTAAAAAGCCATATGTATTAATTATGGTTGTAATGGTTTATAATTTACTCTACTCCCACCTGCCTACCAACAATCTGCCATATGTCTTTGATTTCATCTACTATTCCCTTTTATCATTATTCTCAAACATTTCAGTATCTTTAGTTTATTTCTTCTAATACTTGGCATGCTACAGACTAGTCTTTCGAATTGTGGTTTTTCAGTTTAGAAATTGCTTCCCCAGCCATCGTCATGGCCCTATTCCCACTCATTATTATTACTCTATCCATCACTTCCTATAGCTCTCCGTTCAAACGTTTTCAGAAAGAAGTATCAAGAATACCTAATAGAAGCCAATGGAATTGCCCCTGCATATTAAACTCCAATAGATAAGTAAGCTTTTCCTTAGTACTAGCCCCAAGTACCCAAAGTACAGTATGGTACTGAGTCAGAGTAAGGATCTCAGGTAATTCCTTTATATAAACTCTGCATGAGTCCCATGGACAGTGGAGACTGAGTTGAGTCACTTCATTTCTTAAGGCTCCCCCAGATCCTCTTCTTGTCATGGGTGGAGATTATTTCATGAGACCAAAAAGTATAATCCTAGTTATTATTTTGAACCTGCTTTACATACTTAACTGAAGGATAGTCAGGTCTAAACTCTCCTATGTATATATGGTTGCAAATAGGTTCTTCTTGGGTCATGCACAGAAATTTGGGGTTCTTTAATGCCAACCATCAGATATTCCTCAGGCAACTTAGGAATACTGCTCCTGCTAAATTCTCAAAGAATCCAGAGTAGCATCTAATTTGAAGATAAAATGCAGATAGAGTGACTAAATAGTATAATAGAGTCTAAATATTATAATAGAAAATAGTACAGATATAATAGAGAAATGCAGGTAGTCTAAATAGTATAATATAAAATTATGTCTATTCAGATAAAGTAAGACTGTTCCAATCTTTAGAAACTGAAAAATGCTAATGAAAGCCACAGTTGATGAATTACAGAACAGTTAATGGTAGAGAGCATAGCTGAGCTTTGTATTCTAATATGTCTAGCAAAATCCCTGACAAAAATCAATTCCTTTTGTCAGTCAGCATGTACAACATGTGTAAATAACTTTTGCCGTGGTTGTCTCATATGGCTTGGGTTTTCTGGGTTAGAAAACTGGGTTATAAAAAAGTTGCTTTAATCCAAGCGATTTTTCAAACTTCAGTTGATTTGTAACATAGTGTTTTCTCTCATCCTGAACCATGTTTCTTTTTATTTGCCAAAATGAGTATTTCATGCTCATTCCTCTTAGTCAAGGCTCAAATGCTACTCTAAAAAGCCAAACAGATCACTTCATTTCTAAGAATATAAAAGAGCCGTGACCTCTCCTTCCTCAAGCTCATCCTTTTTATTTAAGAGCTTCTTTCTGTCTCAGACTGATCTCTCAGCATTCATTCTTACTATCTGTTATTTGTTACTTTTCATGTATCTTAGCAGTCATTTTCTCTTCAGATGTTTCTGCTGCCTTTTGTCTTTCTAGTTTAAGCTAAGATTCTACAAAGGTTCACCATTCTAATTGATTTTATATGATCACTTTTACTTCTTCATTTCTTTTTGTTTATAGTTTTTTCTTGAAACAGTGTCATATTACATAGTCCAAGCAGACTAGAAGTGTATGACCCTCTAACCAAGGCATCCCTAAGCTGACTTTTTAGATACAAACCACTATATCTGGGTCTCCCTCTTCGTTTTTAAACTCACTATATTATGCTCTCCTTAAAACTGATCATGGATTACTTGCCTTCATACTTAAAGACTCTTTTTGTCTTCTTATTTGAATTTCTTAATATATTAAGAATTGTTTGGTCTCTTTCTTTCCTGACTCTTACCTTACCTTTCATAGAAGTTGTGATTCTTGTTTTCATTCCTTCTTCTATATATTCCCCGGCGTTTGTTTTTCCTGCTTACCACTCAGATATTGGACTATCTGACAGTTACTTCATTGACACTCTTACCTGACTCTAACTTGTCTCAGTGGAATGTGGACCTGTGTGTCAAGAACCCATTATATCATTTCACTATTTGATTTCAGGTGCAAAATAGCACCTAGAGCATATATTTTGACAAATGTTATTAAATATATTAGCATATCTTTAATAAAAGAGCTAACATAAAACTGGGTGATAAGGCAAAGGATAAAAACAGTTATGTTTAAATTTATCTTTGAGACTGACTCACTTGAGGTTTCACAGTGACCACCACACAATATTTTCAGTATCTCCTCAATTAAACAAAAGCAAAACACCTAAAATTCATAATAAGTAATATTCACAGCTAAAATTTTATTAACACTTCATCAATTCTACATGTTAGGTTCTGTGCTAGATGCTCTAGATGAAAGATTTCATTTTATGACTGAGTAAATGAGGAATAGCAATGATATATAATTTTCCACAGTGCTACAAGTAGCAAGTAATCCAGCACACTCAAATATAGTGTCATCCTTGAATTCTTCACTGACATATTAAAAACAATCCCCTTCCCCCCCAAATGGACCATTTCTGTACCTCAAAACTTTCCCTAAGTTTCCTAATCAGTACTGAAATTTCAGTCT